TCGGATGCAGCAAGATCAATAATAATGATAAAATTCTAGCCCAATTGATTAGAAAAATAAGATGTAATTACGTTTTATAGTAATAGTAATGAAATAGGAATATGACCACAGATTCTTTAGACAACTTATGTAAGATAATTTCTTTGAAAATTCTCAAAGCTCATTTAGGAAGAAATAGGTAACCTGAATAACACTATTACTATAAAAGAATTTAAATATGTAATTAAAACCCTCCCTCCAAAAAAAACCTATCCTAAATCAGGCGTGGTGGCAGACAGCTATAATTCTAGCTGTTCTGGAGGCCAAAGCAGGAAGATCACAAGTCTGAGCCAGCCTGGGCAATTTTGCAAGACCTTGACTCAAAATAAAAAATAAAAAGGCTCCTGGGTTTAATACCCATACTGGAGGTCATGGAGACACATCCTAGAAGACTTTACTGAAGTATTTTGTGAAACATTTAAGGATGAACTAATATCAATTCAGTACAGTTTGAGGGGGAAAAAACAGGAAAATTCTGACTTAGTTTTTTTTACCCTGCTATAAAGAAAAACTAGTATCTAACATCTCCCATAAAAATAGATGGAAAATCCTTCATTGGAATTTTAGCCAGCTGAATCAGTATATAAAAAGGAAAATACTTAATGACCAAGTGGAATGCAAGATTGATTTAATGTTTGAAAATCAGTCAGTGATGATCATCAGTCACATGATCCAACTAAGAAAAACTATATATAAGAAAAATTTTTCGACAGAGTTCAACACCCATTAGTGATAAAAATTTTTAGTAAACTAGAACTTGAAGGGAACTTGCTCAAACTGTTAAAGTACAATTAGTATACTCCTATAGCACATATCTTGCTTAGCAGTGAAAGACTATATGTTTTCTCCCTAAGATCAGGAACAATGGAACCATGGCTTGCTTTCACCTCTTAAATATTTGTCATTGTATTGAAATGATATCTAATTTAGTGGGATAAGAAAAATATATTATGTTATAAAATATGGCTCTCAAATCAGTGGTTCAGTGGCAGAACAACCCCTGGGCTCAATCTCCAGTACCAAAAATAAATGAATAAATCAAATTTTTTAAAATGACACTTAAAAAATATGAAACTTAACATTTTAAGAAACTAGTTATGAATGTAGAAACTACTTATGAATGTAGAAAAATTTCAAAAGAATCCATAGAGGCTGGGGCAACTAAGATGAATAACCGAGCTTGGTACAAAGTAGTGATAGAAAAGTATTTCTGTATACTCACATTATAAATATAAATAAAGTAAACATGTTTATATTAACATACAATATTCAAATACTTTGAGAGAAATTGAACAAAATTTTGCAAAGCCTCTGTGTCTTGGAAATTATAGAATGTTGCTGAGAAAACTTAAAGAACCAAGTAAGCAGAAACAAGCACCATGTTCATGAATCAGAAAACTCAAAATTGTTGTTATACAGGTTGAGCATACCTAATCCAGATGCCTCAAAATTCATAACTTTTAAGAAAATTTTGGATTTTAGATTTTCAGATCTGGGATGATCAACCTGTAAAGAATGTCAAATACTGGGTACTCCTGTGAACGGTACTCAGGAACTCTACTATTTTTACAACTTATGTGTGGATCTAAAATTCTTTCAAGATAAAGTTTAAAAATGTGCCAGGTGTGGTGGCACCCACCTGTAATCTCAGCAACTCAGTAGGCTAAGGCAAGAGGATTGCAAATTCAAGGCCAACCTCAGCAATTGAGTGAGGCCCTAAGCAACTTAGTGAGATATTGTCTGAAACCAAAAAATTTGAGTTGGGGATGTGGTTCAGTGGCAGAACACCCCTGGGCTCAATCTCCAGTACCAAAAATAAATAAATAAATCAAATTTTTTAAAATGACACTTAAAAACTATAAGGTAAGTAACAGACTGGGGGAAAATATTTATAACATCTGATAAAAGATTATATCCAGAACATAAGAATAAATATTACAACTCAAACAAGAAAACAATAGTAAATTTATAATGGGAAAAAGAACTGTGAAGAACTACTAAAACAGCAAAGATATATGAATGCCTATGAACATATGCTCAGCATTATTACTTCTTAGCAAATGTGAATGTAGGCTGGGCATAGTGGCACACACCTGCGAACCCAGTGATCTGAGAGTCTGAGGCAGTAGAATCACAAATTTAAAGGCAGCCTCAGCAACTTAGCAAGGGTCTGAGCAACTTAGTGCAAGACCGTGTCTCAAAAAAATAAGATGAACTATTGATGTGGATCAGTGATAAGTATCCCTGGGTTCAGAAAGAAAAGAAAATGTGAATGTAAATCATAATGAAATACCACTATACACTAATACAGATAAAATTATATGATAATTACAATGTAGAACAGCTAGAACTCTCATACATTGCTGGTGAAAATGAAAAACTGGTATCACCACTTTGGAAGACAGTTTGGCAGTTTATAAGTTAAACATAGAACTCAACAGTCCCACTCCATATTCTCCCAAGATAAATTTTTTTTAAAACTGCAGGTGTTAGTATTAGTATCATTTATCATAACCCCCAAACTAGAAGCAGTATAATCAGCCCCATAGTGCACCCACACAATAGAATACTACTTAGTAGTAAAAAGGATGAAGCATGGATGAATCTCAAAAACATGGCAAGTGGAAAAAGCAAAACACCAGTTGCATGTCATATAATTTCATTTATGTGAAAATCTAGAAAAAGCACAACTAAGGAGTTAAGTGGTGACAGGGGGGCAAGGACAGTGGGGTGGGGCAGAAATTGACCATATAGAGAATATTTAAGATGATGGGAATGTTCTATATCATGATTTTGGTGGTTACAATGTTGTATACAGTTATCACAACTTATTAAATTGTACAGTTAGAGTTGGTGAATTTTTTAGAGCCTTTTTATGTGTTATTTCTTCTGCCTAGAAAGCTCCCTTTTCTCATAGTCATTGTTCAGATCTCACTTAAATATCATTACATATCAGAGGGATTCATTTGTCCAGAGCCTATACTAGCACAGGTTTCTGTGGAATCCTGCCCTTAGGTTGCCATTATCACAACTTTAGTTATGATTAAGTAATAATCAGCTTAAGTTCTCTTTTATTGTTATATCTGCAAATCCTAGGAGGAGCTAGATGCTGATTTACTAGTGTTGTTAGTGCTTGAGTTAGGTACTCTAGTAAGGACTGAGTATAAAGTGAATAAAGAGTTCTCTGTCTGTTTTTCTTAGGAGGAGCATTCTTAGCTTCTGCCAAGGGCACTGCTGGCTGAGGCTTTCTACTTAGCTTTGCTGCATTATTCTGGAAGTTGATGACTATAAATGTTCAGCTGTGATTTTGTTCAGACTTCATGTGGGCACTGCCGCAGATAAATGGGGAGCTGGCACCATGGATCGACATCCTGTTGTTGTGTCATCCCATTCTGGGAATAAAGAGAAACCCTTCCTTGCTGTTATTCTTTAGCAGAAAGGGAAAACTGCTCTGGGGTGGGCTCCTTGATTTCCAGCCAGTTGAGAAACTCCAAAATACAGCCTTTTGTTGTCTGCTTTATAACAGTAAGTCAGCTCCCATGAAGCATCACAGAATACCCCTTCCTCTCCTGATCCTAATGTTCAAGAGAGGAATAACACTCTACTCCATCCAGCAACTAGGCTTAAGAAATCTAAGCTGCAGCCAATTTGAGTGCTCGGGTAGAGGCCTATTTAACCTTCTTCTGGGATGTGAAAACAGTATTGATGCTGTGTCATTTAATCATGTTTTTGTGTTAGCATTGTCTTATAACCATACACATACACGGAAATAATTGTTTAGACCTAACTGGTTTCATGATTTATCGGGATGGTGGATACTAGGTAAAAATTGTCTTACCTGCATTTTGCTTCCCCCCTCCCCTTCCTGGATGGCCAACCCTCACCCTAGCCTTCTCAGTTCTATGACTGCAGGTGTGTGCCACCATATCCAGCATGCACATTTTGGAATAAACTAATGTTATCTAGTAGTGAAGAGATGCTAGTTTGTCAATCTCCAGTTTATACAATCGAGTAGAAAAAGATACCCTGACTTAATTTGATAGATGGTAAAGAACTGTTGTCAGAACTTATATAGTACTTTTGATCCTCCAAACAAGTTAGAACAGAATTGTTTTGTCTTGTATACTAATGCATCTCTCTTCTCTACCCTGCTTTTCATCTTTTCAACATTATAGCCTCAGCATATGAATTATACCAGGATGTAGCTCTTGGGAGTCAGAAGATCTGACATAGTGAAAGCAACTTGTTTGTTAGGCAGGTACCACATGTGCTAAACAACTTTAGCTTGGATTTCCACTTTGCACTAAAAATGATATGGTTAATTATTTTTTTTAATGAAAGTTTAGTGATTTCTCAAAAAAATGATTTCAGTACTCTAATATGTAAACACATTAAATTTTTAGTTATGAAGGTGTTATTTGTTTGTTTGTTTGTTTATACATACCAGGGATTGAGCCAAGGGGTACTTAACCAGTGAGCCACATCTCCAGCCCTTTTATTTTTTTATTTTGAGCACAGGGCCTTGCTAAGTTACTTATGGCCTCATTGTATTATTAAGGCTACCTTTGAACTTGAGATCCTTCTTCCTCAGCCTACCAGGTCGCTAGAATTACAGGCATGGATCACCTTGCCCAGCTTGAAAATGACTTTTAGAGCAAGTTTAATTATAACCATTTACTTTGTTTAGTCTTCTGTAACTTAAGTATGTATTTATACCAGTGACTTCTAGAGAAATCGTTTATGCTCATAAAAGTTTTTTTTAAAAAAAAGCTATAAGTTGTTTTTCAGTATGGCATATGCTAACCAAGACCCTGTGGTATTTTTTCTTAGTTTTTTAATGAAGCAGTTCTTCAAACAAGACATAGCAGTCTGTGTTAATACCAGTCAATATAAAGAAAAGTTGGAATTTTAAGATTAAACAGGTTCATTTTGTTAAGATCATGTTTTGTTTCATTTTGTAGCCTCTTGGTGAATTTTTGGATGAAGCCATTAAATTAATTTCTTGCCATCATGAGCAGAAGCAAGCGGGACAACAATTTTTATAGTGTAGAAATTGGAGATTCTACATTCACAGTCCTGAAACGGTATCAGAATTTAAAACCTATAGGCTCCGGAGCTCAAGGAATAGTTTGGTAAGTCTTACTTCCAAAAATGAATCAAAGAATCAACTTGCCTCATATGAGTTGCTATCTTTAAATATAAACTCTGGTTAAATACTTGTTTATAAGCCATGCAGAAACAGCTAGCTATATCAGAAAAGGATAAGTGGCATGTTTGTTAATTCCATGTGTACATCTATTTCCATAGCTAATTATTTAATTATGAAACCTCACTTAATCATCACTCACACACCAAAATGAAACTCCGGAATTTCAGAAATCTTATTTTAAAACTGGGGAATGGAAGTCATCTGATACCCAGTGTACACATTTCAAAACTCATATATCTTTAAAACTGATTTACAAGCTAATTTCTACAAAATACCCAGGCTTTACAGATCAGCATAATTTCTTATAATCTGAAACGCAAAACATTCTTTGGGGTAGTTTTGCTGATGATTCAAAATCACTGTTAGCATAATAAGCTCGTGTTATTGGGAATTCTAACACACACTCCAGTATATCTTTATTATCTCTTCATGAACCAAATTTGTTTTGAAATCCATTTTAAAAATCAGGAGTTTTTAAGATTCGGCACTTCTGTCAGGTTCTTAGAAAAACTCTTGCACATGTATATAGAGACATACATAGATCTGTTGTTTGCAGCATCATTTATAATAGCAGAAATTGAAAACAGCATCAAGTCTGTCAAAAGGAGAATTAAAAATTGTGATATAATCATAGAATGTAATACTATACAACATTTAAAGTGAACCGGAGCTCTATGTATAAACAAAGATAATATAAGAAATATAGAGTTGATTTTAAAAGCAAGATGTAGAATATACATAGTTTTGCACCATTTACCTATACTTTAAAATATTCAAAACAATGCCATGTATTTTGGGTGCATGCTATATGTAGAAAAGGTAAAATCATGCATAAACATCAAGGATTTTATTTACCTCTCAGAAGAGGAAGGTTGGTTTACCTATAAATCATTTCTTTAAAACAAAAAAAATCCAGGGTAATTCTGGTAAAAACTTAAATCTAACTAATTTGTGTAATGAAAGACATTCTCTTTATTGAAGTAATTTATGATATCAAAAATTATAGAAATTGGGGTCATTTTATAAACTATTAACTGGCTAACATTTTTTAATTTTTTGTACTTGTAGATGGACATTATAGTGCCTTTATTTATTCTTTTTAAATATATATATATATTTTTAGTTGTAGATGGACACAATATCTTCATTTTTATGTGGTGCTGAGGATCGAACCCAGTGCCTCACGCATGCTAGGCAAGCGCTGTGCCACTGAGCTACAGCCCCAGTCCTAGCTGGCTGACATTTTAATCAACTGACATTGACCTATTTAACCAGCCACAAATTAAATTTAAAAAAATGTTTACAGTCAGTATTTAGAATTTAGAAAGTCAGCTGTTGGTTCAGATTCAAGGTCTTTGATTTACTTTGGTTTTGTGTCTCTTGGCAAATTAACAGTTTTAAGCCTTTTTTCTCAATTAATTTATAGAGCTATTTTTGAGCATTATCCTATATAATTTAGAAAAATTATTAAATAATGTTTAGTGTTATGTTCCTTCACTTATCCTCAGGTAAGTGCACTTTGAAATTTGTGTATCAGAATTAAAAATGCTTTGGAAAGGACCTTAAGTCCCTTTAGCCACTTTATCCTAAGGAATGAATGTCTTAAAATTGTCACTTAAAGTAATTATTTTATAAAATATTATTATGAAATAGATTAAATACAAAAATTTCAAAACTCATTGTGTTACTGTCAGGATCAACTGAAGAACCTAATTTGATAAAACATTAATAGTAAGGTTTATGGGTATGGATTGGGGCCAGGTGTTTTCTGATTTGTGCACACTGAAGAATCAACAATTAAAAATCTAATTTCCTTGGTTATAAAATAGTGGAATTAATTAAGATACTTTCAAACTTTAATAGTTTGAAATATTCCTTTGCTTTAGCAGATAGTAAATTAATAGGAATGAATTTAAAATAAAATCTTTATTAGGAAGGATAGTAGAATGAAACAGACATTATTACTGTGTGTATATATGTAACTGCATGACCAATGTGATTCTGCAATCTGTATACTCAGAAAAATGAGAAATTATATCCCATCTGATTCAAATGTATGATATGTCAAGATCACTGTACTGACATGTGTAACTAAGTAAAACAAATAAAAAAAATAAGTTCTTTAAAATAAATAAATAATAAAATCTTTATTATCTAAAGATACATTTCTAACAATTTTTCATGACCCTTGATATTTTTTTTTTAATTTGGGCAGCTCATATCTATAAATATAGTACTTGTAAAGTAAGGGTTATATTTATGTTTATTTTGATATGTATATGATATGCAATCATTATGTGCAATATATATTCATTATAATCATTATATGCAATTGTTATAGTATATACAGAATGTAGAGATATAAATGTAGTACAATATCATAATCTATATAGTTCTATAACAAATACCAAATAGATATGAAGAGAGAGTTACAAAGTGTTTAATCAGGTGAAAACCATCAGTAATGAACTGGCTTTCCAAATACATTTAAATAGAAGTAGACTTTTATAATATGTTAAGTCAGTATGAAATGCACAGCCTCATGTCTTTTTTTTAAATTTTTTTTAGTTGTAGATGGACACAATACCTTTTATTTTATATATTTATTTTTATGTAGTGCTGAGTATTGAACCCAGTGCTTCACATATATCAGACAAGTGCTTTTTCACTGAGCCACAACCCAGACCTTCATGTCTTTATCTTCTAGCCTCAGCTTTATTTTTAACTTTTTGACTAACCTTGAACCAGTTACTTAACTGCTGATCCTCCTTAGGTAGAGATGAATCCACATTTTTAAAGAACTTAAATTCATAAAATTCAATAACATAGACAGATTACCTTATTTGTGTTTCCTATTCTCAAACCTTTCATATACCAATAGATGTCATAAGGACAGCATCAAGGGGTAAAGGAAGAAATGAAGAGTAATGTATATGTTGCGATGTGTATGTCCCAGTTATGAAGCAGCTTCTGATGTTTTCAAATTTAGCATTCATATTTATAAACACCTTGATTTTTTAGATTCTCTAAAATAAATTGTTAAGGCTTTTTCAAAACAAATTTTGATATTTTATATACACACTTCTATATTTATTAATTGTCCTGTGACTGAAAGGATGGAAGTAATGGGTTTATGTAGAATTCTTCAGCAAACATTTTGAGTAGAATTCATGTTTATCCTGACTTTCTTTGATCTGGTTGGAGAGTGAATGATTCCTTTAGGCTTTAAGCTATCTTAGCAGACTTAAATATCTATAAAGCATTTATGTATTCATAGTGCCAACCCTGGGCTAAGTGTATCAGCAGACAACGAACCAGCAGGGTGTCTGTCTTTTCAATCCATTGCCTCCTTGGATACATTATTATTTTAAAAATTGATTGTTATTTGCTGTGGAATATATTGTCATAAGTATAGAAGACACATGTTGAGCATTACAGACTGAAGAGTGATCCAGTTCCACCTATTTTTGGAGGAATTGAGGAATCTGCATGAGTGTTTCATAAATTCAGTTTTACAGATTTTTACTTTTTTGTTTTTGAATTTCTTGTTACAGTGCAGCTTATGATGCCATTCTTGAAAGAAATGTTGCAATCAAGAAGCTAAGCCGGCCATTTCAGAATCAAACTCATGCTAAGCGGGCCTACAGAGAACTAGTTCTTATGAAATGTGTTAATCATAAAAATGTAAGTGAATAATTTAGATTTCTTAAATATAGATGAAATCAAGATTTATTTATGAATACACGAATATGAAAGACTTTATAGAGACTTTAAATTATTCTGAATTGAAACATTGTTTAAAGGGAATATATATTCACAGGATGATTTTTTTTTAATATTTAAGTTGTAGATGGACATGCTACCTCTAATTAATTAATTAATTATTTTAATATGGTGCTGAAGATCAAACCCAGTGCTTCACACATGCAAGGCGAGTGCTCTACCACTGAGCCGAAACCCCAGCCCCACAGGGTGAATTTTTTACCCAACTTTATTAAGTGATATCAAAAGAAAATGACTTCTGAAATTTAGAATATTATTATTTAAGTTTTATTTCTTATTTTGCTGCTTATTCTCTATAAAGCTGACATTTCAAAAATAGTAGCCTTAGTACAGAGATGAAATTATTCAAATTTTATTTTGATACTGGATCTTCCCTTAATTGTACAGGATAGAAGTGCAAATCATTTCTCACCACATCACTCACACCTCTTTAGTGATGTAGTATTTACTGATCATTTTATGTTGAGGGTAGCCAGTGGTTACAAAGCACTGTAGCAGAAATTTTTTGAAAATATTTAAAGGGAATTAGAAAATGATTTCTAATTATACTTCCTAATGATGTAACTTTTACTCATTTTGAGGACAGTTGTACTTTTTTGAATTACTTTACACACTCTGATAATCATTTTTATAGTTCTTTTGTGGAATGAACACTCGAAACTGAGAGGAAATAACTAAGAGGAAATTGTGCAAGGGACAGTTTTATGAAGCACTAAACTGAGAGCACTTCACTGGAGACATTTTGTGGTGATTGTCCAAAGGAGCTGATGTGATATAATAAGTATGATACTTTCTAATGGCAAATAATACAATTCACCACATTATATTGGAGTTAAAAGTTTATCTCCAAGTTGGGGAATGCGTGGACATTAAGCCTTCTTATTTGAGAAACGTGTTTGAAGGCAAAACAAATAATGTAAAGTTAAATATCAAATATCACAAAGCATGAGTATTTTAACTGTCATTTGATATAGATGGTCAATAAGTTCTAAAATCTCAATAAAGAAATATGTGAGCCTTAATTAATGGGAAGGCTTTCAGAAAGAGTAAACTTAGGTAAAAGATGGAATGAAAATTGGATTGTTGTAGGAAAGGGTCCCCCCAAGAAAGGAGAAGTGGCATAAAAAGGGCTGGATAGTTAAAGTTAGTCATGGACAGGAAGGTAATTGTGGTAGCCATTCTATTTCCAGGTATGAGCCAGACGTGTTGGTCATCAGAGTTTTGCTAGTGGCCTCCTAACCTTGGATAATGCTTCTTGTACCTCTTGTAGCCTGTGGACTCAGTTTCACAATGAGGGCTGTGGGAGCATCTTAGTTTTTCCTATGGAGAGGAGTCCAGTTTCTCCTTTCTCCCAAGCCTGGGTGACTGCAAGGAAAGATATTTCCTTCTACTAAATAGCACATGTGTCTCAAAATTAGCCCTCTAGCAGGAGAGGCACACAGTGTTCAACACTTATTTTGTTCAGTGAAGGAATTTAAAACTAAATATAGTCAGCCAGGAATGCTGACTGTTCTTTTCTACTCCCTGATAGATGGATGTTTTGGGAATGTCATGTCTCAAACACTTTTATGTTCTACACAGATGTTCTCTTCATTATTCTCTAAGTATCTCTGGGTTTTTCTGCCCTTTTCAAGAGGGTTTTGAGTTTCTTTTTTAACTTGATTACTTACCTAAAAACACACTTTGATAAGTCGTCTAGCACACACAGTCTAGATTTTTGATAGAATCCTCTGATAGGAGCTGAGGCAAGTTATCTCCCCTTTACTACAGACATTATATCCTGTTTGAAAAGCATGTCACCATTGGCTAATAAGTCAAAGGCCCGTTAGTGGGTCTCATCCATCCCCTTTTATTTTTATTTTTCTCTTTTTGATTTTGGCAAATTTAAATAGAGTTTGCTTTTTTTCTTTGTTTTGGCTTTATCATTTATTGGCTTTACTTCTCAGTTTTGCTCAGGATATCTTCATAGGTACCTTGGGGTATATTGCAAAAATTACGTTTTCCAGAAACAGCCAACTCTAATTCTTCATCTTATTTACATAGATATTGTTCTTAGAGACATTTTCATGTATACCTTTTTGAAGTCTTCACATACTGTATTTAGTTGCACTTCTCTCATTTATTGCTATTGTTCTTTGTTCTCTCTCCCATCTCCCCCCCAGAAGGAAACAGTGCTTCTAGATGAATTGTTATTTGTTCCTTGTAATTACTACTTCTTTCAGTTAGTCCTTTATAACCCATTAATCAATCCTAGACTTTTGTTTGGCCAGTCTATGATTGATATAATTTCCTTTATTTCCCCATCTCGAAAAATAGGACAGTTGTTTTATAAAATCTCATTTATGATAGCTTAATTGAGATATAATTTACATACCATATAATTAGCCCATTTCAAGTATACAGTTTAATATATATACCCACTGATATGAGTGATATCACCACAGTTAGTTCCAGACTAGTTCCCCTGTAGGGCTGGGGTTGTGGCTCAGCGGTAGAGCACTTGCCTAATATATGCAAAGCCCTGGTTTCGATCCTCAGCACCACATAAAAATAAATAAATAAAATAAAGATATTGTGTCCAATTACAACTAAAAAATGAATATTAAAAAAAATTTAAAAAGAAACACTGTATCCTTTAGCTGTTGATCCCCTATCTTCCATGCCCCCCAGCTCTAAGCAACCACTGATTTCATTTATGCCTCTGTATGCCTTAAATCTTTTAACATCTCTCTTTTACCCTCAGATTTCCCAAATATTAGTGAGAACAGTTTAACTAAAGTCCAGATGCAATTCAGCTGGTTGTGAGACTTGAATTTATTTAGAGTATCTGATATTTTATTATTATGGCTTCCCTCATCTTAAAAAAAAAAACTGTACTTTGTTTGGATTTTGTTTTTCTGAATTGATCCACTGAACAGATGCTTTCTATAGGCAGAGCTTAATGCAGAGATGAATAACAGATTTTGCCCTCATATCTAAAGAAACTTTCCTGTCCCTAAATTGTTACAAACATTTTTAAATGTGTCAGGTACATTGCTATGTACAAGGCAATAAAAGTAAATAAGCCACAAATCTTTCTAACAAGGATCCTGTGTGGTCTGGATGAAGCTGTTGTAAAAATGAAATTACAGTACTGTATGTTGGATGCCATGACAGCATAGAGGATAACTAGAGACAGAGTAGAGAGAACAGTCAACTCTGATAGGGATTAGCGGTTGCCAGACTCTATCAAAGAAATACATCTTGAAGACAATTAAGTTCAGTTGGTAAATGACAAGTGTAGTTTAGAATAGTATGCTTAAAAATATTAAAGGCTTTTTAAAATGACATTCTTGAAATGAATTTAGTTTGGGTAAATTATCAAGTTTAATACTACTGAATGAGATGATACTCTAGCATGGGTTTTGGGAATTTATTTGTTGGCTTAAAGTTTTTGAGGAGGTAAGTAATATGATCAGATCTTTCTTTTACCATATTACAGGAAATAAAGTGAATAAAGTGGTAGCTGGGTTTGCAGAAAACCATTGTTAACTCAGGCTTCCATAACAAAGTACCATAGACGAGAGGGCTCAAACAACAGATTTAGTTCTCACAATTCCAGAGGCTGGGAAGTCCAAGATCAAGGTGCTGGCTTACTTGGTTCCTTGTGAAGGTGCTCTTCCTGGCTTGCAATTGGCCAATTTCTCACTGTATCTTCATATGACCTTTCCTTAATGCATGGGTGTGGAGAAAGACAAATTTTATTCTGTTCATCTTTTTTTTTCTTTTTTAAATTTTTTCTTTTTTTAATAGAGAACTCAGGGGTGCTCTATCACCAAGCTACATCCCTAGCCTTTTGTAAAAATGTATTTTGAGACAGGGTCTCACTAAGTTGCTCAGGCAGGACTTAAACTTGTGATTCTCTTTTCTCTACCTCCCAAGTAGCTGGGATTACAGGTACGTACCACCATGCCAGATTTTGTTCTTCTTACGTGACCTATTCTCATTATGAGTGCCACACCTTTGTGACCTAATATAAACCTAATTAACTCAAATTCCCTATCTTCATGTAACATCATATTGGGAGTGAGGGCTCTATCTGTGAATTTCAGGGGGACACACACAGATTCAGCCTGTAATACTAGTATTAGACATAAGATTTTAAACTCTTTAACCTGTATAATAGTACAGGGAATGTAGAAAAAGAGATTGAGGGTATAGAATGATGTACAACAGACAACATTCTTTCAGATATGTGCTATGGTACAGATAAAGAATCAGAATCACTCTGAATTTTCTCTTGTAAAAGGGAGGGCATCCTGGAAAATTAAGGAGTTTGGTAGGAATAAAATGAATTCAATTTTATATTATTTGTGAGAAATCCACATAAAGGACTATGTGTATATGAAACTCATGATGCTAAGCAAAGACTTTTCATGCTTATTTGGGAATTATCCACATAGAAGTTTGGAAAAGTTACATAGATAATAATATCATTTAGGGAAAGGGTAGACAGAAACAAGAGGGCTTGAAGACAGTAGTGGAAAGGAGAGTATACCTTTGAATGAACCATTGGATTTGACTGGAAATGAAGAAAACTGGGAAAATATGATACTGTTAAAATCAGGCTGGGGCAGTGATGCATGCCTGTAATCTTAAACAACTTGAAAGACTAAGGCAGAAACATCTCAAGTTCAAGGCCAGCATGGGCAACTTGGCTAGACTCTGTCTCAAAATATAAAAGGAGTTCAGTTGTGGAGCACTCTAGCTTCAACCCTCAGTATTGAAAAGAAAAAAATAAGAAATGGTCTAAGGAAACCCTTCTGAGATTATACAGATATATTGAGTTGAATAAAAAGCTAGAAGGTGTTTAAGATTTGGTAATAAATTATGTAGAAGTTTGTATAACATAAGAACTTGTTACGAGTGTTCATAAATGGAATGAGTGATGTGAAACTCTTCTATTTGTAAAGTTTTTGTTTTTTTTAAAGACTGTTTTAGAACACTTTTAAGTGTACAATAAAATTGAGAGGAAAATACAGAGAGGTCTCATTTATAACCTGCCCCTCCACATGATAGCATTCCCCTAAATCAGCATCCCCCACTGAACTGGTACTTTTGTTTAATTGATGAACCTACATTAATACATTATTTATTACCCAGGTCTGTAGTTTACATTAGGGTTTTCACTTTGGTTTTTTGTTTGTTTTTTGTGGTCCTGGGAATAAACCCAAGGCCTCATGCTAGCTAGGAAAGCACATACCACTGAGCTACATCCCTAACCCCTAGGGTTCACTCTTGGTGTAGTATAGTTATGGGTTTGAATAAATGTATAATTAATATATATATATATATATATATATATACTTTTTTAGTATCATACAGATATTTTCAGTGTCCTAAATATCTTCTGTGCTGTCTGTTAATCATTGTCTCCTGGCCATAAAAACTTTAATATATAAATGAGATTTCTTGAACTTAAAACACAAAACTTGAAAGATTTTAAACTGATGTTGTATTTTTTTAACCCAGGTATTTGTAGTTCCCAAATGAAATAGAAAGTAGTTTCTAATTTTTTCTCTCTTTGTTTTTACCACAGATAATTGGACTTTTGAATGTTTTCACACCACAGAAATCCCTAGAAGAATTTCAAGATGTGTAAGTGTGACAATTAAAACTTTAGTTAGTTCAAAACTTTATTAGTACATTATTCTTAGATTGTTGCTATACACTTTAGCTGTCATCTTTTTCCACCCATGAAGTTACATAGTCATGGAGCTCATGGATGCAAATCTTTGCCAAGTGATTCAGATGGAACTAGATCATGAAAGAATGTCCTACCTTCTCTATCAGATGCTGTGTGGAATCAAGCACCTTCATTCTGCTGGAATTATTCATCGGGTTAGTAGAAAAAATTATCACCATATTTCTTTTTTAAATCATTGAGCTGAAATTTACATAACCAAAATGAACCATTTTAAAGTGTACAGTTCAGTGATATTTAAGCCATTTACAATATTGTGCAAACACCACCTATATCAAAACTAAAATATTTTTATCACTCCAAAAGAAAAATCCCTGTGTCCCGTAAGTAGTCATTTGACATTACTGACTCTCTAGCACCCACAATCATTCTGATTCACTTTCTGTGTCTGTAGATTTACTTGTTCTATTTCATATGAATGGAATCATATGATATATGATCTTCTGTGTGTGGCTTCTTTCATTTAGCATAATATTTTCAAGATTTGTCCATGTTGTAACATGTATCAGTACTTCAATCCTTTTTATGACTGAATAATATTTTATATATACTACATTTCACTTATCTATTCATCAATTGGTGGAGATTTGGGTTATTTCTACCATTGAGCTATTACAGGTAGTTCTGCTGTGACTGTTGATGTGCAAGTATTTGTTTGAATATCTGACTACAGTTCTTCTGGGTATATATGCTTTAGAAAATGGAATTGCTGGGTCATATGGAATTCTGTGGTTGATTTTTTTTTTTTTTTTTTGAGGAACCATCAAACTGTTTTCCAAAACAGTTATACTGTTTTACATTTCCAGCAGCAGTATACAAAGATTCCAACTTTTTTACAACCTTGCCAATACTTGTTATCTAACTTTTTGCATCTAGTCTCCATAGTGGATACGAAGTAATTTTTTTTTGTGATTTTGGTTTGCATTTCCTTAGTGATTAATGATGTTGTAGTTAGTCAGCTTTTTGTAATTGTGAATGAAATACTGCGCAAGAACGACTTAGAGAAGGAAAGGTTTATTTTTGGCTTCACAGTTTCAGAAGATTCAGTCTATGGTTTGTCGTCCTCATTGCTCTGGATCTGAGATGAGGTAGAACATTATGGCAGAAGGGTATGACAGAGAAAATCTGTTCAGTTCATGGCAGCAGGAAGCAGAGAGGGCAAGGAAGGTACTGGGGAGAAAATAAACCCTTCCAGGATATGCCTCCAGTGACCTAGTTCCTCTGACTAGACTCCATCTCCCGGTAATCCATTCAGCTCTCAGTTGATTAGTCAAAGTTAATGAGGTCTAAGCCTCATGACCTAATCATTACCTCAAAGCCCCACCTCTGAACCTCACTGCATTGGGGACCATGCTTTCAACAGATGAGCCTTTGGGGGGACATTCTGGATTCAAGCCATAACAGATTTCAAGCATCTTTTCATATGTTTGTTGGCAGTTTTTATATCTTCTTTAGAGAAATGTGTGTTTAAGCCCTTTTGCTTGTATTTTAATTGAGATATTTGTCTTTTTGTTATTGTTTTAGAAGTTCTTTATGTACTTGATATAGTAAGCCTTTATGAGACATACAATTTGTAAATATTTTCTCCCATTCCATGGCTGGCTTTTCATTTTGATGGTATTCATTACTGTGTTAAAGTTTTTCATTTCCAACAGTTTTTGTTGTTGTTTTGTATGTATTTTTGGTGCAATATATAAGACTCCATTTATAAAGATTCAGCCTTATGTCTATAAAACTTTTCTACTTAGCTCTTTCATAGGCCTTTGATCATTTTGAGTTCATTGTTATATGTGGTATAAGATAAAGGACCAACATCATTTTTCCACATGTGAGAGTCTAGTTGTCCCAGCTCCATTTGTTAAAGAAACTTTTCTTTCCCCCAATGAATGGTCTTGGCACCCTTGGTAAAAACCAGTTGACCACAAGATACATAGTTTGATTTCTGGACTTAACAGTTCCATTTCATTGGTCTTTGTGTCTGACCATAACACCAGCACATTATTTGGATCACTATAACTTTGTAGTTTTGAATTGGGAAAATATGAATCCTCCAACTTTGTTCTGATATTTTCATATGTTTGTTGGCAATAATGTTTTGAATGTTTAGGGCTCCTTATGATTGAATATGAATTTGAGGATCAACTTTTCCATTTCTGCAGAAAAGGTCATTGGAATTTAAGTAAGGATTTTTTTTAATATGCAGATTGTTTCAGAAGTTTTGTCATCATCATACTAATTTGTCATCATAATAATACTTAGTATTCTAATAGATGAACATGGGATGTCCTTTCATTTTCTTATGTTGTTTCAAAGCCTGCTTGTGTTGTCATAATAAAATACTATAGATTGAATATCTTTAACAGTGGAAATTTGTTTTTTCACATTTATGAAGTTCATAATCAGATTGACAAAATATTTGGTTTTTGATAAGGTCTCTTTTTTGCTTTCAGATAGCCATTTCTCTTTCTTTGTCCTCATATGGCTTTTTCTCTGAGCATATGTGGCTAAAAAATGCTTTGGTATCTCTCTTGTAAAGACACCAGTTCATTTGGATTGAGGCTTTACACCTATGACTTATTTTAAAATACCTTAAGTACATATAATATCCTATCTCCAAATAGAGTAAGCATTGGAGCTTAGGACTTCATAAGAATTTGGAAGGGAACAAGGTTTAGTCTATGACATAAATTTCCTTTAGTTTCATTTAGTATTGTCTTGTAGTTTTCAGTGTGTATAAGTCTTTCTCCTTAGTTTATTCCTTGGCATTTTATTCTTTAGGATGCTATTACAAATGGAATTATGTTCTTATTTTCCTTTTCAGGTTATCAATTGCTAGTATATAAAAACACAACTGATTTTTGTGTGCTGTTTTTTTTTATTTTGTCCAGACGTTGCTGTTTGCAACTTTGCAGAATTTGTTTATTAGCTTTAATTGTTTTAATGGATTTTTTAAATGATTTTCTATATATAAGATCATATATCATCTGCATCCTAGTTTTACTTCATCCCAATTTGAATGTTTTTTTAACTGCTCTGGCTAGAACAGATATAGTGAAAGTGGACAACCTTGTCTTCTGATCTTAAGAGAAAAGTTTTCAGTGTTTGACCATTGTATTCATCTATTTTCCATTGCTATGTCAGAATACCTGAATCTTATTAATAGAAAAGTGTAACTCACTCTTTTGGAGACTGGAAATCCAAGATTGGGTGGCTTCATCTATTCGGCTTCTGCATAGGCCCCCCTTGACTGGATCACAGCATGGCAGAGAAATAAAAAGGGAACCAACTGTGTGCACTCAGGGATCTCCAGGACCATCCTCACTTCAGACCAACTGGCTACAAATTCACTGTTTCCCTACAACCTACCCAAGCCTGGAGAATTTACTGGAATGACCCATAGGACTTCCAAAAGCGCTAAACTTAAGTTAATTTTATTATAGGAAAAGGGTACAAATTAGTGATGTTTTAGACTAGCTTTGGTATCAAAATGATGTTGGCCTCAAAATGAGTTAGGAAGTATTTCCTCCTGTTCTTTGGAAGACATTTAAGAAAACAAAAGTATAGAAAAAAAATTTTTTTTTCTTTTGTTTTGGTACTAGGGATTGAACTCAGGGGCACTTGACCACTGAGCCACATCCCAAGTCCTATTTTGTATTTTATTTAGAGACAGGGTCTCCTTGGCTTGGCACCTCGCCGTTGCGGAGGCTGGCTTTCTTAATGTAATAAAGTTGAGCTAAGAAGAGACACATTAGGATCTGTTACCTATGATGACCATATTTATCTTAGATTAGGTAGTGTGGGAAACTCTAGGATAGAGATATTCATGAAGAAGTTTATTGGGGAGTTTCTTTAGAATCAAAATCCCAGGGGGGAATAAAGCAGTAAAAATGGATAGAGGGAGAAATTGAATTGAATGCAACCACTTCAAAGACCTCAGCTGGTAACCCAACCAGCCCATTACGCTGGGAACAGCATGATCTCTGTGGTTGAGAACAGTGCCTGGAGAGATTTTCTTGAAGTCTGTCAACAGCTGTCATGCCTAGAAATTGAGAGAATAAGTACTTCAAACTGGTACCAAGAATCTGAGCAGGCATCACAGAATCTACTGCAGACTACCCCTTGAGCTGCTATTTTCCTTTAAAATAATAAATAAATAAATAAACGAACGAACAAACAAACAAACAAACAAACAAACAAACAAACAAAACAAACAAGCAAGCAAGCAAGCAAGCAAGCTAGCTGTGGAAACTGCTTGTACCAGATTTTTGTTTGGCCCCTTTTCCTGGAGCAACTTCCAAGAAGTTTAATGTAATTAAACTAATTGCAGCTAATCTTTAAGGCAGAACTGGTACTTATCTCTCGATTGTACTGCTCATTCTAGATTCACCTGTTCTCTGCTGTTCTGTGATTAGTTGCTTGATAAAATAAACTGATCTTCCATCCCTTAAGAGTTCAGTGCAAATCAGGGTTGGGAGTGGATTTTCACATAGCCACTCAAAGACCCAAGCTGAGTAATAATACTTCACCATCTAGACAGCAGAAGAGAAAGCTGGGTTATATGCATTAGCTTTTCTATGTTGGGACCTGAAATGTTACATATACTTCTGCGCAGAGCCTATTGGAGGAACTGCCCATAATTGTAAGGGGCAATTATGAGGGGAACAGACTTTAGAACAGCAGTGGGCACCAGTCTCTGCCACAGTCTACTCTATTGGTTATTAGACATTCCTTTGTTCTCTTTTTTTCCATACCTCTCTAATGGAGATAACCCAAAGTCCTATTCTATCAAAATGTTTAGTATCTACATCAGTCCAGACATTGCTTCCTTTGGTTCAGGAATACAGGAACTGGAATGGCCAAATTATCTATCCATCTCCCATGTCCTCCCTGCAAATACCTCAAAATGGTCAAACCACAATAAGCAACCTCATTTGGAAACTAAAAAAATTAGTCAGTTGCATTTGAAATTCTGGGCATTGTGAGGGTTTCTTGCTCTGGGGTGGTGAATAGTCTGTGGTTAAGCCCTAAATCTGATATCTGTGAGGAACAACCTATCTGCTGTTCTCTGTGATACCTGACTGTACCTGGTAGGAGAGTTTTCCTTTTGTTATCCTCCTTGAATGTATCTGAAGTGAGT